GGGGGGAGAAAAGAAAAAGGGACAAATGAGAAATGTGCCATGTCTATCCCGTAACACAAAGCATCTTCTGGTCATGAATGCATGCAACTCACATCTAAAAGGGTATCGCGGCCATGCCTCAGCGTCAATGCGGCGTTTCCTGGTTCGCGTCATTCCCGATGACGACGCCGCCCGCCGCTATATACCATGCCGTCACAAAACCCATCATGCCATTTTCGTCATACCGTCTATGCCCAAGTATTCAATCTTATTTCCATTCCTCAAAGGAAACTCAAACCAATTACACAGCACCAGCTGAAATCATCTTCTTGCGCAGATAATTCTTGTACTCGCCAATAGTGCCGTCCCATGCCTGAATGGTCTGGTTCTCGCACACAAGAATCTGCTTGGCAATCTTGTCCAAGAGTCTGTTTGAACAGTTAGTCAACGAACCTTTGTCAAAACGAAATTGGGATTTGGCACATACCGGAAGTCGTGGGAGACGACAACAACACCACCGCTAAAGGCGTTGATGGCATCAGCCAGACTGTCAATAGTCGGGATATCAAGACCGTTGGTAGGCTCGTCGAGCAAAAGCATGTTCGGGCCATCAATGGCCAGCAGGGCAAAGACGATTCTGCTCTTCTGACCTTCGGAGAGAGTGCCCATCAGGGCAGTCTGCGAATCGCCAGTCAAACCATACCGGCCAAGCTGCTGACGCCAGTACTGGTAGTCCTGGGACTTCTCCTTGTACTTGTCTCGTACAAAGTCGAGAGCCGACTTGGTGAGATCCAGCTGCTCAGCACTGTGCTGGGAGTAAAGACCAAGCTTCAAGTGGGTGTGGCGAGTGACGGCACCTCCGGTGGGGGAAAGCTTGCCAGTCATGAGACGCAGCAGAGTAGACTTGCCAACACCGTTGGGGCCGACAAGGGCAGTTCGGGAGTCCATATCGAAACCAAGGTCCAGGTTGCGATACAGGTCATCAGCTGGGTCTCCAGAGTAAGAGAAGGTGACATTGTCAAAGGACAAGACGGGAGGGGGGAGCTTTTCGACGTCAGCGAATCGGAAAGTGAAGACCTTGTCGGGAGTGACGGGCTGGATGAAACCGTCGGCCTCCATCTTGTCCAGAATCTTCTGTCGCGACTTGGCCTGCCTGACCAAGTTGGCGTATGTACCTGCACTAGCAATGAACTTTTTGATGTGGGCGATTTCCTCCTGCTGCTTGGTGTAGGCCTTCATCTGGTTCGTCTCATTCTCAGCACGGGTCTTGTGGTAGGAGTCGTAGTTACCACCATAGTACTGGAGGAGTCTGTCCCGCATATCAATCATATTGGTGCACACGCCGTTGAGGAAGTCCATTGAATGGGAAACAAGAACGAGGGTACGATCCCACTTCTTGAGATACTCTTCGAGCCACACGCAGGCCTCGAGGTCCAAGTGAGCAGTGGGGTCGTCAAGTAGCAGTAGCGAAGGCTTCACGAACAGGGCCTTGGCAAGAGCAACTCGCATTCTCCAACCACCAGACATGTCCTTGGTCTTCTTGTGGATCGTCTTTTTGTTGAATCCGAGACCAGTGAGGATGAGTGAGGCACGAGTAGAGAAGGTCGAGGGATCCATCTTGTCCATGTGCTGTAGGAGGGAGATGTGTTAGCAGCCTGCCAATGGTGCACACGTTTCTTCAAGGGTCCATACATCGTAAAGGTCAATTAGAACGGGGCTTTCGGGGCCTTCGTCCTCAAGGAGCTTCTCAGCGAGCTTGTCGAGACGCTCAAGTTCCATCTCGGCCTCCTTGACAACCCACTCCAAAGCGCCGAGATCGCTTGGGGGAGCGCCTTCATTCAGAAGATAGATGTCAATGTGTTCGGGAATGGGGAATTCTCGAGCAGCAATGGCCTTGAGGAGTGTACTCTTTCCGCAACCATTTTCACCGAGAAGACCGTATCGGCGGCCAAAGGACAATTCTAGGGTTGAATCGGTGATGAGGACGCGGCCGTGGAACACCAAGCTGGTGCTGGTGATTTTGACGTCCTTGCTGGCATGGGTCGATGCCAAAACACCGGTGGTGACTCGGTCCGAGATGCCGTGCTTGTCCATCTGCTCAGCGAGGCGCTTCACCTCGTCGAGCTTCTCTCCAGAAGTGGCGGGGGCGTCGTCCTGAATAACATTGCCGTTGGCGTCGAGCTCGGGCTCCCGGGCCTTTGCCTTGGCTCCCTTTCCACCCTTGATTTTGCCCTCGGCGGCCTTCTTGGCGAGTCTTTTTTCCTTGGAAGCAGAGGGCATATTGGCGGTTCAAATTAGAAAACAACGACAAAAAACGGTGAACAAAAAACTTGGAAACAGCGAAAAGAGTCGGTTGTCGGGTTCAAAAGGATGTCACGAAACCGAATGCCGTATATCGTCGTGCGTTACTTGGACACAGTAACACGAATGCTCGACCAGGAAAAATACGTGTGTGAATCTGGTCCGGATGAAGAAGGGGGGAAATGATGAGCCAAGCGGCAGGACGAGTGTTGCAGTCCCAAGGTCGTAGAGTTTCGCTGGCAAAAGCCGTCTAAAAAGATAATGGAGGCGGGGTGGATTTTGGATGGTGGGGCGCAGCCAGAAATTTTTGGTTCGATAAGACAGACTCTCGACTCTGATCATACATGTCAGGCATCAAATTAAGGCATTAACTAAGTCAGGGCACACAAAATTCCCTTCGGCATCGCCACTGGGGCGGAAGTTTGTTTCGAACGGGCAGGGACTACTCCGTAGACGGATGCTATTTCCGATGTGACATTATTTGCAATGCGACGCCCATTGGAACAATCATCCCAGAAGTTCGTAATTCTGGTTGTATTTTACAGCTGCACCTTTTTGTGTACCATGACTGATTAATTTTTGGTGGGTGGCAGTTATGACGGCTTGACGTCATCTTGTGCCTTCCGTTCTTGCCCGATAAGATTTGTGATAAAAAAAAAATTTGCCACCCTGTTGGGCTCGCTACCCTACAGCGACTTTGGTAGACGTGTTTCAATTCAAGCACCAGGATCTGCAGGACTGTAGAATTTGGAAAGTAACGAGCAATCAGTCTATTGTTTATCCATCGCACATGTCTAATCTGGTGCCAAGGGCCACACCACAACTTGGTTACTGCCAAACAGACGACTCCCATAATTTTCAGACTCGAGACGAGCGAATAAATGAAATTGTCGTTGACACACAGCGTCGCTCACGCATGTGGCCTCTTCATGATGAGTTCAGCTGGAACCACCTGAGGCTGTGCCTCCCCCAGCATGCGTCTCGCCAACTCTTCTTCGCCCTCAACGTAACCAGGGTATGGCAAGGACGTCAACGTTCTTGACAGATGTCTAGAACAACGGCCGTTTGAATGCACCAAAGTTGGGCTTTTTGAATTTTGTGGTCTCGACTGGTATACGGATGGATCTGTTGACTTGTCGGCCATTATGCCTCGTCTTTGAGTGTCCATGTCCCCTGGGGCGCGTTGGCTTGCCGTTTCTTTGCGGTTCTGAGCTCGAGAGATGCAAGTGTGTCTCATCAGCGATAGAAAACTACAACTGCATCCCAGTGAGTACTGTCATACTTTTCTCATTTTGAATTGTTGGGATGGGGAGCCTTACTGCATGGTATTGCCCATATAGGCCTGTGCAGCAGATCTCACCGCAATACCCGTCATATCACATCAGTGTCCTTTCAGCTGCGATGTTTCCATATTGCACAGAACGTACGAAAAGCAGGATGCTTCTGTCTCCCCCCGCTGAGCTAAATAACTCTGCTTGCTAAAAGCTGGTGCCTAGAAGCTGCATTTCCGCATAAATCCAACAGCCCAGGGTGGCGTTGTGCGGTACCATGGCGCCAGGCAGCAGATTAAACCGTGTGCATTTAGGTATGGCTTTGTATCACTGTAATGGGCAGCACTAGAAGGAACCAAGAAAACCACGGCGTTTTTTTTCCCCTATGCGGTTTACACAAAAAGACCGAAATGATTCAAGTGTGTATGCAGTCAGTAGACTAGGCGTTCACGTCTGGATCTAGCCCATCGTATGCCGTTCCAGTCTTTAAACCAACATCCCTACTAGTTGCCACTCGCGGGTTTGTTGCCTCTCTCTGCTCAAACTTGACTTCTGCAAGTCTGCCTGGATCGTCGACGGAACCGGGCTCGGAGTCGAATGCCTTTCGGACACCATCTTGTACACCTTGATTGTCAAAACCACCCTCCTTCAGATTCTTGCCATGCGGGCCGCCCTTGTCCGAAATGTATTGGCTGTTGATATATGACGGCGCCAATTCGGCAGTAGAGTCATCCGCCTGGGAGAGAGGAATGGCTCTGGAGGGAATGTTGCCGGGCTCAGCATTGCGGTTTTTGGCGAATTCGCCACTGGCCCTGTATGATTCTGCTGCTAGGGAATCAGTTGGAACGGCGCCGGCCGGTTCACGCGTGACGGGGGCGTTTTTTCCAGCGTTGACCTGAGAAATGTAAGCTTGAGTGAGTCAAAGGGCCTATTCGGCTCGTCTATGATATTACCTTGGTGCCAGCACTAGACGCTCCACTGCGAGTTTGGACCGAAGACATTGTGGCAGTATGGGATCGGATATAAGAATTTAGTATGTTTGAACCTTGCCGATATGGGTGTGTCCTAAAACATTTGCGTATAATGATATACGACCTATGACTTCTTGAGAAGCTTCCGATATATATATGTATATATAGCGACTAGCCGTCTTTCTTACGTGACATCATGGCGCATCATCATACAGACTCGCTGGCGGACAACATCCTCACGAAGCCAAGCTGCTTATTGGTCGCAGCAACCCCCAAAACTGCCAATTACATCATTTTCAAGATTTGTAAGAAGATGTACCCCACAGGGAGGAGGCAGTATTGGGATGTAAATGGATTGGCGATTCAATGTGTCGTGAAGTCCAATCGTGACTCTCGCAGCGGTGATAGGCTCTACTCTTATGAACTTTGACCACTAAATGCCGAAGCTAATTACCTGAGATGGGAGCTGTTGAGCTTGTAACAATGTCTTGCACAACAGAAAATGCGATATGGCCTGAAATCCCGAAGAACTCATAGCTGTTGGCGTCCGAAGCCGTCATTGCTGGGGGGGGGGGGGGGGCTTTG